TTAATCTTATTCACACCTATACGTACAAACACTACGGTCAGTCATTAATAATACACCTATCAATAAGACATCATTTTAAAAATTTGGTGCTGATATGATGAAAGTTTGTATATCGGTTCGACTTTGTTATGTAAAGTAGACACTATTCAGAGAGTGAACTATGAGGTTGTTGAACGTTGGTCATATCTGACGACTGTGGGGAGTCATCACCATCACTTTAATTGATAATACTGTAAAATTAACTCTTGCTAAGCACTATGTAAGAACTGAAATTTGAAGTTCTTTTGCTAGCGTTAAAAGCAGAACGTTTACTGATCTACAAACTGACTGAGACCTTTAACAATGGCAGCCTGGGTTTCAGAAAAGCTTCTATTATTGATATGTTGATTGTTTGTATCCGGTAATCTAAATCAGAGTACTGGGTAGAATCATACAAATACAGCTGCAGTCATAAGAAAAATTGGTGCATTTGAAAATATTTGAGCAAAAGATGAAACTGACTCTGAGATCAGAAGCTAAGGCAACAAGTGGGCAATGTCTGTTTTAAGAGTGGTATAAAAATAAAAATAAAGTGTTGAGATCTTACTCTCCCATCATAGAAAAGCACCTGTCTAAACTTAATGGTTTTCTCACTTGCTTACAAATCAGACTCGGTTTATGAAATGCCTATAAGCCCCTAGGCCTTGTAGGCTCTCTTTCCCATACAAAAACGTTTAGAAGACTAGGACATAAACCACAAAAAGTGTAGCCAATTCTATGCCTATATTGCCTGTACTAGGAATCTTTATCTGGTAAATTCTTCTTGCTTACTTTCTTCGTCTTCTTTCCTATGACAATCTTGATCTTCTTCTTGACCTTGCCGTCGGGCGGCGTGCTCTCCGAGCTCTCCTTGTCCTCGTCCTCGGCCTTCGAGGGCTTCGACCCGCCGCCGCTCTGCTCGCCGTCCTGGTCCTGCTTGCTCGCCCTGTGCTTCTCCGAGTCCTTGCTCCCTCCGGGTTTGACCGACTTCTTCTTCTTGAGTTTCCCCTTGAGGTTCCTGGCTGCGATGAGCTCCGGCGTTTCCTGAGCGGCTGTGTCTAGGAACAGGGTATCGCAGGTGGCGATGTCCGCGCACAGCTGTTCTTCGTCGATGTCCTTGGTCCCTTTTGGCTTTCCTGAGTTGGCTCTTGTGCCCGATTTCCTGCTGCTGCCGCGACGCACGACCTGCGAGGCGGAGGGCTCGTCTCCCGCCTTCGACCCCGAGGAAACTCTTGGTATGGAAGGAACAGAGAGTCTGAGGACGACCTCTTCTCCGGAAACTAGCAAGTCTTCACATGGTCCCATGTCTAGCTGCGTTGGCTGCGAGGAGTAGCGGTGATACGTTAAATTCCCGTTGTGAATCGGGTCGGTGAGGACGTCGGTGGGCTCCCCGTGGGGGCCTCTCACCCACAGCAGGTTGTCGTCGTAGCCCTCGTAGTGGTTTCTGGAGTCGAAGTAGTTCCTGTTCTCCTTCGTCCTGTCATCTGCATAATAGTGTAGCTGCCGATGACTGTCTCTCTTCTTATCCCACTGGTCGTCGCTCCTTTTCCTGCTCAGGGGTGACTTATGGACGCGAGAAGTCCCTCGCTGGATGACCTGGGCCGCGCGCACAGACGCGTACACGCTCTGCGGGGAGCGGACCGGCCTGGGCTGTCTCCTTGGGTCGTGGAGCCGAGTCTTGGCCACGACCGGCTCCAGCGCGTCGAGTCTGCGCAGGCTGCCGAACGAGAAGAGAGAGGGGATTCGCAAATGCATCTCGTTGTAGAACTACATCATCGTATCATATGGGGTAATATGCACAATATATACTGTATAATGGCAAATTTTCATTGGGATTTTTTACCAAAATTAAAAGTCCTAAGTCAAAATCCATACCTGGAATGGGAGTTTCGTGGTGTGGATAACATAGTGCGAGACGGCAGGTCTGTCTCCCAGAAGTTGGTGACACTTCCCTCTGAAAGAAGTCATGAAGGAATCAATTCAGGTTCAGAAAAATTACGATTTCATAAATCGGTTGGCAAGCCCCATTATTATTATTATGATTTTCGTGATCATTATTACTATTATAATCATAATTATAATGATAATAATTATTATTACTATCAATATTACTATAATGATAATAATCATTAAGATTATTATCATTGTAATTATCATTATTATTACTGTAATTACTACTACTACTCTCTCTATTACTGTTATCATTATAATTATCTTCATTATTATGGTTCTTGCTGTTAATGTTGCTGTTGTTACTATTATCGTTATCGTTATCAGTATCGTTATTTCAGAAACATTTTGGTGTTAGTTTGTGTATCATTTATTTTACAATACTTTCTTGTGATAACCTCCCCCTCTTTAGAAGTAAACCCAGCAACAATTTACATATTATTCATTAAAAATTGTGACTAATTCACCTTTGGAGCTAAATACTACAACATCTAATAACATTACACAATATAACGACATAAAAAAGAAAGAA